ATTCGAAGTGATTTTATTGAATTTTGACTTAGTTTCATGCTCGAAGATATCTTAAAATGTGAAGAATTTTAAAGTGTTTGTTCTACGAATTTTCCACCCGTATGATATAAAAATGTGTAGTGTACGGCATAATGTTCCTCATATTGTTCTAGAAGTTTCATTCCAACATAATTTTCGTGTTTATTTCATAGATTGAGAGATAAAAATCAGAAAAGAGGCCGTTTTAGCTAAAATTTACAAGACAACAGAACCAATAAAAGTCAATTAGATTGACAGAACATAGTTGCATTGCTTTTCAATGACGACCGATGACTGTTTCATTGATATATGATTTTTTCATAAATATGAATCCTCAGTAGACGTGTGTACACGTGGCATAAAAATTTATTTTCCATTGGCCAATTGTGAAAAAGCTATTTTGCTTTCATGAAATTTTATTTAATTTGGCCTTAATGAAGATAATTTGCAGACTGAATTGTATTTATCTGAGGCCATTTTGCTCGATCCCATGCCGTTTAGTTTTATGACGGCATTAATGGTGCCTGGAAAAAGTTAAACGTCATAATTTGTTTACATTTCGATGATTTTGTTGCGCGATTATTGCACATAACAGGTGCTTCTACTCCTGCGTTGGATCAACAAGTTGCGTGGCATCCTCGATAAGGGCGATTATCATCCATTGGAAGCAGTTAATCAGTAAGCGTATCTGAAGAACTTGGAACAGGAAGCTCAATCGTTCCCAAAAAGGTTCCCTTCTCCTGGATGATCCGAGGAAGTTAATGTGCGCTTGCTTGGATTTTTTGGAACAGTTGATCCTTTCGCCGAATGAAGCCACTGCTATGGTTCGGTAGACAGTCAGTTTCCAGCTGACTGACAGCTTCTGAAGGTTCCTGTCGGCAGTTTTCCACAGTCCCAGTTTGGAACTGATGCATGTTATTCCAATCATCACCGAAACGCGATTTCTGGAGAAGGTTGGTCTGTGCTTATTCAGATCGTGTCGCAAACGCCATTGACAATATTGTGGGTATTCCCATCAATTTTAAGCGTCTAATTTGACGGCTTCCAGTGCTTCGTGAACCGCATTCACTTCACTCTTTTCAGTCGACCTTTCTGTCATTGTTGACCGGTTTAGTCGGAGCTGCTGGGCCTCCCAGGAAGTTCTGAAATTGGATTCCTTTTCCCTTCCGTCGACAGAATCCCTAGAATTATCCCTCCTAGTATCGCTAGTATTTTTACTCGACTATCCTCCGGCATTTCCTTGTGATTCTGCCTTTAAAAGCTGCAATCAAATTATTCTTTTCTCTGTCTTTAGGCGGATACATATTTTTAGTTTATTTGTAAACAGTAGGGAGTTTTGTGATACACGTTATTGACGCCGAAAAGTAGTAATATATGCTTTTTGGTCCCGTTTGAAACCGAACGGTTTTATAATTGCTTATATGTATAGAGGCAATGGATGTAATGTCGGCCAAATGCCCCTAATCTGGGCCCATACATAAATTCTGCGATCGACTAAATTTTCAATAGCGACCAAAAATATCGGTACCTTCCCAATGACGCGTTCATCTAGATAAAATTGATAAATAGATTTTTAGCAATGGGCCCAATGTTTGATTTATAGAGCCATTTCCCCATTTCCCCTAATGATAAAATACCTTTATGGAGTATTTTGTCGTGGCGTGATTGACTAACTTAACGGTTTTATACATGGGTAGAGAGCTGCTTTAAATTCATTTTTAAAACCAGATCCGTTTTGACTTTATCGTCAGACTTTAAAAGGCTGTTAAAACAGCAAAATGCTGAACTACTTACCAAGAATGTGTTGCACTTTTAAATGCTGTATTTAAACTAAAAAGATTGCATATTGCCATTATAAAACAACAATACATCAGTGTGAAAAGCAAAAGGCTGCTAAATTGTTACTTGGGTGCGATGCCTCAAACCACATGAGAATTCATCTACAGGGTGCGTGACGAATTTTGCAGTAAATGGCATATTTGAGAAAAAATACACCAGTTAGTTATTCTAGCAATGAATTTTGTGCGATTTATTTTCTTTCGCAACATATGGAAGTTGTAAGTAAATTTATTCAAAAAAATTGCCTTCCCTTTCGACGACTGTAGTTAAACGCTTCCGGAAACTGCAGTATGCACGTTTTAAAATGTTTCGATCCATAGATGTCATCACTGCCTTGATTTTAGCTTTTAGCGACTTAAGTGTGGTGTGAGGGGTTCTATTGGTATCCCGTTGGACGACACCCTATACAAAATAATCCAACGGATTGATATCGGGACTGCTTGGGGGCCAAATTTCTTCCTCCCAAATCTACGAAATATTTGCCGTAAGCCATTTCTGTGCTTTATTAGCAGTATGAGCAGGTGCTCCGTCTTATCACTTTCCCAAGCCTTTTTTAATATTATACACTGTTCTTTCAGACATATTTACCGACCGAATTATTTCTTTCATGAATACTCCGGCGCGCAACAAAGCGACAACGGCTGACAGATTGCTCTCTTGTTTCGACATCTTTACGTTTACTCAACATTGTTTGTTTAAATCTTACACCTAACAGTATAAGCTATCCAGTGCTGCCAAATATATCTAAATCATGATCCACAAGCATGAGAACTTACTATTTGAAATTTACTGCAAAAATTCGTCACGCACCCTGTATTTCTTCTATCTTTGTTACTAGGAAAGTATACAGATTGTTCTGAGCTAACTGCTATCGCCAATAGTTGTTAAAATGTAACAAAACATTCCTCTTCTGGACGTTCTACAGTATGCCATGTTAATGAGCAAATTAGTTAAAAGTGGACCATTTTTAAAAACATGATTATTTGAAAAATTCCTAAAAAATATATGTTAATCATTGAAAAAAGCTCTTTTCTTTATAGCTATGAGCTTTTAGAAGAAGTTTCTTAGAATATATGGACTAAATTAGCGCTAGTAAAAATAGGTCCAACCATGATTCATTTTTGGGTGGGTCCAACCAAAATTCATTACCATATTCCAAGTGGATGATGGTTTCAAGGACCTGCGACAGATAAATTAATCAGGAAAAGTGAAAATATTTTCCTCTTCCTATGCTTCACGGCGTAAATTTACGCCCTCATCACTCTTTTGAGGGTTCCCCTATTCACTACCAGCGGCTGAAGCGATCGCTTAGTTTCTATTGGATTCGCCTATAGGATTTTCGTCATTCTACGGATGAAGACAGAAATAATGGACTCATTAGGAGCGCTTCTTTTGTTTTGAGAACAATGAGTGCAAATATTCATGTAACTCGCTCGTAGAGGCTTTGTTTTGTACCTTATGAGCTAATGCATCGAAACAAACGCATTATTGATTTGTTTACGGCGAAATCTTTTGTATTATTGACGTTTTCTGCTCGATAGAACGGAAATGGGTGATTACGACGAAGTAGCGTTCTACCCTATGCCCAAGGAAGTAGAGAAATTTTCCAACCTGAAAGAGTCCCTCGACCGTACCGGGTAGTACCGTGCCTTTACTCACTAGGTTAGCTGAGGCCCCAATATGTGTTTCCGTTCAGCCAGTAGAATCTCCATTCAAACATTTTAACAACAGCCACCGCTAACTACTGCCCAACGGTACGGTAGTAGGTCAATAATTAAACTGAGAGGCTGTTTGCTCAATGCATCGAAACGTCAAATTACGTGGCGTCAAAGATCACGCGTCGATCATCGAGGAATCAGTCGAGTCGCTGATGGTCAGCCCGCACATCCATAGCCATATATAACCATTAAGCCTACCAAGCAATAAAAGAATGTTGCAGACGGCCCGACGGGACGGATGAACGGAGTGGTAGAAACGATCCCATGTACCTAAAGACGTGAAGGGAGTGTTTTGTGGGGAGAGGGGGGGGGGGATACGATACTTTTGTGACTAAATACACGAACGATTCGGAGTCGCCGGGAAGGTCGTCCCTGATCCGACTGGAGTTAAAAAGAGCAACGATGTGCGCCTATGTGGAAGGTGAACCGTACCTCCCTAAATGGAAATCACACTCGTGAGAGATGTTGAAGGAGGAATCGATCGACTACGACGACGATGAAAGGGACACAGCAGATAAACGGAATTGAGCCGTACGCTTATGGATTATGGGCTTCTCTTATTTTTTATTTATGGCGATTCGCACTTTGTCGCTTCCTCGGAAATCGGTCACCTGTCATACGGTAAACGGTAAACGCAGTGAATATGGGCTTTAGTCGGCAGAGTCTCCGCAAGGACGGGATGCAATTGCGAACGGTGAAGGTGACATTCACATGGACTTGTCGATGCGGACAATTTGGTTGCATAACTGAAGGTTCGGGTGAGTGTCAATTGCAATTTCGAAAGGATTTATTGTTATGGAGAACGGCAATACAAGACTGTTGGCTTGAGGCTGTGGTGGTGAGAATTTTAGTTTGAATTTCAAAAGCTTTTTCTGAAACAAAATAGTCTCAGGAAAATCTAAATCAACAATGTGTAGTTATAGGAATTACTTACTACAGTAACCCGCTGTTTCTCGGGTATCCTTCAACGAATTACGCTGTTTTTTTGTATGTGATTAGTGTCAATCATAAACTAGTTATCTACTAAAATAGCTCAATTATATGAAGGCTAACGCATATATGGAGGGGCTACTGTACATACTTTTACACCTACCAATGATAAAATTCAAACTCCTCCCATAATTTTCTCAAACGGTGAAATGTAAAAACTCAATGGACATTTCTCGGACCACACAACTTAATAGCACTTGCTCAGCCGATCCGGCAAAGGTCGTAAATAAATCACGGAAAAAAACACGGTAGCCCAAGCGTAGCCTTAATTAAGCCTTCATTGCAATCTGCAATCATATGCCACACGTTTCTATAGCAACGCTTTCCTCACCTCTCCATCAGCTTCATCAGCCGGACACACAATAAAAAAAAAGTTGCATTTTAATCCATCCCACACATTCCTGTTTGTAATGCAAAATCAAGCTTGGTACTCACCATTTTCCGCAGCAAATCCTCATCTTTGATCGTGGTGACGTCGACGTACGACGATGCTACCTGCGAAGCCATCGTCTTATCTCGTTACTGTTGTTCGAATTCCAGAAGCAGCACTGCCAATAATCTTCACCGCTCACGCGACACTGCTGGCTTTTATCTGTGTTCTTGGTTCTTCACTTTTCAAGATTGAACAAACAAACAAATCAGGAGAAAAAATATTGGCGCGCGTTCGGGTTCCGTCACAGAGCTTGGACGTTTTTATAACTCCTATTTTTTTTGCCAACCGTCACTTCACCTTAATTATTCGAAGACCACGCTGCTCAGGCTACTGGTCTTGAAAGAGAGTAAGCGCACTTCAGTTCCGAAACAGGAATGTGTGAATCTGTAAATAAAGCAAAATAAGGAGTTTTTAATTTCGTGCCAATTGGGGGGACCGGCTGCAGACTAATTAGTTTGTCGCCATGGCTGATGGATAATTAGCATGTTTTGTGGATTCTCAGAGTGTGCAGTGTGCACTTTTAATGGCCATGGCAAGAAATTGAATGGTTGGGTGATCGGACGGAAAAGGATGTCATTGAAATGAAACGGATGCATTTTTTCAATAAACAACTTGAATTGCTTGTGAGTAAGATTGACCAATATGACTATTGATTTTTTTTTTGTGAAACGTTGTTGACCTATTTCAATCGAATTTACGAACTTGGTCAACTTCTCGCAACTGACCAGAACTCTGTGTAACTCCAGGTTTTATGATAATTGAGCATTTGAGAAAAAGAGATTGCAACACTATGTTAATCTGGTTAATCAGTCAGCAAGTTAGATTGACCGGCGGTGTAGTGGAGAGAGATTCTGTACCAACAATTGACAATTTTCACCCAAATCGAAGAGGGTCGAGCTAGATCGTTTGCTCAGGCAGCTATGGAAACGTTTAATATTTAGAAACTTTTTCTATAGAAACTTCTATAAGAGGCCTATTCTAGACGCTTGCTCGTCGCTTCACTCGTCTGACATAAAAAAAATTGGTGGGGTTGTGTATAAGAAACGACCGCATGGTTGACGTAGACTACGTTAAGCTGTGTAGTGAAATTCTCGTGCATTCTCGTCCTATGATTTCGATCCTATGTACATATTTTGGGAAAAACTTGAAGTTCCAGTAACTTTGTTATAAGTTTTGTGAGAGCTGATATCTGTACTCCTGAAATTTTTATGTGGTAATGAGATTGATCCTCAGCGATTCAACTTCAAAACGCTAAAAATAAATGCACACACAAAAACGGAGTGCACAATTTTGCATCAATGTTATGCAACATTTCATAGTTGATCGAGATGATATCAATTAGCCCAATAAGTTCTCGGTACATCTTTTATCTACCGATTGAACAAATAAAAAAAATACTAAGGCTGTGTTCCATTTGGAACATTTTCACTTAGATTTGACACTTCGAAAATAAATTAAGATGTTCGAAAATCCCTCTGTTGTAGATCGGCCGATTTTCGAGAAAGCGTCTGTCAAATTGATTCCTTGTAGGTTTATTTGAAAATTTACCATCTGTCAAATTTAAGTAAAAATTCATCAAATGGAACACAGCCTCAATAACTTGAGCACAGAATGTTTTCTTGTTGTGTTTGTCGTATTATTTAGATGCTAGATAAAAACTTCTTTTATCAATGTGTGTGCTGAAAATACCTGGGCCGAGTGGATTCCAGGAGAAAGTCGACGAAGAGAATCTTGTCAGTGTTACTTAGGACCTAATGCAATGTGCAGCTTGAATTGTTTCGCTTAACTGTAGCAATGTAAACAGAAAATCGATGAAGAGAATCGAACATTACAAGTGGGCCCTTTTGAACGCTGACTGACTGTCGAATTTCAGAACCTAGCACTGAAAAAAACTCGACGGTACCTCTATTTATGCTAAGAGATAAGCATTGCAAGTCCCACCTACTTGAAGGATTATGCAATCGAACGGCTTGCTATGCCTCACCCTCATCAGCAAAAAAAAACTGGGGTTGTATAAACCGTTCTATAGCATAATTTTCCAAGTAGGAGGAACTTTCATAGCTAATCTAAGAGCCGAGGTAAAAAGGTAAAAATAGAGGTACCGTCTGATAATTTCAGTGCACTCAACACGCTGATTGGCGATCTCTCATCGCTGGGCGTTGCAGCTGAGTTTAAGCTCGGCAGGATCGGCACCAAGGTGATGCTGCGAACAAAAGCGGAGTACGAAGTGGTCGTGAAATATCTGAAGGATTCCAAGGCGGAATTCTTCACGCACGACATCCCCGGTGAGAAGCCCTTCAAGGTAGTCATCAGGGGTCTACCAAACTTCGACCCCAAGATTGTTGAAGCTGAAATCAACCGGTACAAGCAAGCCCCAATCGCTGTATTCCGAATGACAAGGAGAGACGATAACGTGAAGACGTACCCGGATTGCCTCTTCCTGGTGCACTTCCAGAAAGGGACGGTGACTCTCAATGCGCTGCAAGCCATCCAATCGATCTACTCCATCATCGTACGATGAGAGCCATACCGTGGCGGCCATCGTGACGTAACGCAGTGCCAGTGGTGCCTCAATTTTGGACACGGTATCCGCAACTGCAACATCAAGCCACGTTGCAGCAACTGCGCTCAAGAACACGCCACTTCCAACTGCCCTGCGGATGGAGAAGTGGCGTTAAAATGCGCCAACTGTGGTGGTGCACATCAAGGTTCCGACAGACAGTGCTCCAAACGCGAGGACTTTAAACGCATCCGAAAACAGGTGGCTACTAACAACCAACCAGGACGCAAGAAGGACAAAGTCCCGGCATTTCGGACGGACGATTTCCCGCCGGAGGATTTCGTGCTCCTCAGCAAAGGCAAGCGAATTCGCGGGTGCATCCCGCTCAAGCAACTTCCGGTGATTCTGCTGACCAAAGCTCTCCATCCCCCCTGGATTCTGGAGACAACCAACAGCGCAAAAAAAACAACCCAGATCTGTTCTCAGCCGATGAACTAATGGAAATTTTCGTCAACATGTCCGGTGCTCTTCGTAAGTGCCGCAATAAGCCCGAACAGATCCAAGTGCTCGGTAAGTTCATCATCCAGTATGGCATCTAAACCGCTAACTATCGTCACCTGGAATGCTTGCTCTGACCACAACATTATCCGGCTTGATCGCACCAGCTCCAGGGGGGGGGGGTGTTGCGGTCGTCGTCAAGAAAGGAATAAAATACCACACTCTGTCCCATATCCGAACCTCTATCATCGAGGCCATTGGTGTGGAGGTGGAGTCGTCGACTGGATACGTGCAGTTCATCGCCGTCTACTGCCCTCGACAGTGTGCTGCCAGCAGTGGACTAGCGGCTAAATTTAAGAAGGACCTGTCCACCATCACCCGTACCGCTTCCCGCTTCGTAGTTGGAGGAGATCTGAATGCTCGCCATGAGGCCTGGCGGAACTACCAGCAGAACCAGAACGGTCGTCTCCTGTTCGACCACTCACAGCATGGGCTGTACTCCGTTTGGTTTTCGGATGAGCCAACATTCATCTCACCGGCGGGCAACCCATCGACGCTAGACCTGTTCCTGACAAATATCGGCTTGTCCAAGCCGGTAGCCTTGAACGAACTCAGCTCCGACCACCAACCGGTGTTGGCTGAACTGAGCTGCAACGTGGCTCCTGCTTCAAGCCTGCGCAAGGACTACCATCGCGTAAACTGGGCCCAGTTTGGACGCGTGGTAGACAGGCACATCATCGACAACCCGCCGCTTGACACCGTGGAGGACATCGACCGAGCGTTGGAGGGACTCCACCAAATAGAACAAATCGTCCAACATAACACTAATTGATTATGTCATTGAGAAAAATCGTCCAATGTAACATGTCCGATGTACAACTTGACTAGTCAAAACGTCCTATGTGGTTTTTGCTATATTGTAGCTCAAATTCAATTCAAATCAAAATTGTGATTTTACCATTTCTACTGAATTTTCAACGTTATTATTCACTGACTACATTGAAAATAGTATTGCAAAATGTATTGTTTCTAAACAGTTAAAATAATAATCTGTCGAACTTCAACTTCGGTTTTCTCAAAATGGTGGATATGTTACATTGGTCTGTTTGAAAAGTGACGCGAGATTTGTAGTTTTCATTCAGGTAAGGAGCGCTTGCGCTATCAAGGTGGCTAATCTCGACGGGAGCGACGCGCAAAGTTCGAGGTGCAAAACTCGAACGCTGCGCACTTGAAAGGAACCGCCTTCCTACTGCTGCTACCTGCTTACCCACCGTCCGAAGTAAAAATGAGTTGAGGCACTTTTTTTTTTTTTTTTTTTTTACTTAAACGATCTACATTTCTTAAATTTGTGTGGTTTACATGTATAACTTATCAAGTGACACAGATGCGTCTTTTCAACTTTAGTTCCTGTGAAATTTCAATTATTATTAATTACAGTTCCTAGTCCTATCAGGCCTGTTTTAGAGAATGACCACCTTGGTGGGATTGGTTTGTTTGAAAATTTGAAAAAGGAGACTACTTATAACTACTATTTACAACTATGTGAGTTGAGGCACATAAGCAGCGCTGTTTTATAACTTTTCAGATTCAAGTAGCACGATGTGCAACCAAATGGTACTCGATTATCACGACTGTGTTTGGGGAGAACGTTTATTTCATGAAAATAGTGATAAAATTACCACTTTTTATTTGTACATTTTTAAAACAGTTTTTTTTTCATTTTCTTTGCTCGACTGTCGAGCTGTTTAGTCCGTATGTTTCGCTCGAGATCTCGTTTCGATTTTGTTTCGTTTTGTGCTGTCGCGTTGCGCCGTGGAAGTGTCCCCACCTTCTCGCGTTCTGGCAAGTTTACTTGAACTTGCAAACACGAAACAAATGGTGCGTAAATGGGCCAATGAGTCAGCAGCGGGCCCTTCAAAGAAGGTCCAAAATCCGGGACCTGTTTCAGGTTATCATCAGTTGGGAGCATTACAAACCCCAACATCGTGATGTTACCCAGTGTACGAACTGCCTCTCCTATGGCCATGGCACCAAAAACTGCCATATGAAGACAAACTGCGGCAAGTGTGCTGGAACTTACTCAACTGCGTCCTGTAAGCAAGTTGATGACATTGAGCCAACGTGTGTCAACTGCGGTGGAAACCATCAAGCCTCCAATCGCGGATGTCCCAAGCGAGTGGAGTTCATTAATATCCGTTGGAAGGCTACAATCAACAACCAGGTCGGTCGCCTCCGTAATCATCGTTCGCCTCCTGTACTCACGGAAGACCAGTACCCAGCTCTCCAGCCCCATCGACATGTTCCGAACCTAGCCCCGCTTCCGCTCAACAACCAACAAGCCAACCCTGCGAGTATCCAAATGGTTCACAACAGTCGGAAAGTTCAG